TATTAAAAAAAATCTCCATAATTGGAACAAAAATGCTGTCTTCTCCCAGGGCTAGTCTGAGTAGGCTTTATTGGTGTTTCTGATCTTGAGATGGAAGAAGTCCAGGAGTACAGCATAATTTGCAGGAGAAAAAGAATTTTTGGGTTTGAGCCACTGCTATCTACAAGATTTCCCTCTGGGATAAATGATAATACTCTTCTTCAATAAAAAGCAGGGAAATTTGGATAAAGACGTGAGAATTTTGTTGATTGTGCATCTGAGTTATTTTAACAGAAAGGGGTGGCTACTTATAAACCTAGATCAATTTAGGAAGGAAAATGTCTGCAGATAATGAGTTCCAAACAGAGTGCAAATATGTTTGAATAGCATTTATGGGATTTACAATAATCTGCAGTCACATGCACAGCAGCTGAACCATGAGATTGCCACATCTAACTGTGGAGACTGCTTTAGTATTTGGATTACTAGGAATTAAAATATTATAGCTACGAAAAGAATGACATGGTTCTGGTTGTGAAATACTAACAAAGGATAGCAGGTCCTTTGTTTAGTGCACTTTGATAGTGAAGGCTGACTACATGGGGAAAATTTGTTATTTGAAAGGTACTTCTGTGGAAGTTTGCTTTGATTCCAGCATTATAGTCTACCTGTAATTTAAAACCAACTGTGTTATAAAACCCCAGTGACCTAATGCTTTTCAGCAGGAATCTGTTTTGGGTGATGGTGGGGAGATGAAATTTAGAACAAGGGGGAAATGATGTGGAGGGGAGAGTGGCCACTTGCTGTTCTCCTTACTACTTCTATGCTCTGGAAAGGAACTTTTCCCAGATGCTGGAGCTCTAAGATGTTTACTTCTGCAAGGGGCACTTCACAAATTGATGTCAATTCTTCATGTAGCAAAACTGATAAAAACTTTTCCTCTGCTTCCTTCTCTTTTCTGCTTTTGCTTTTGTACAGTTAGTTAGTTAGTTAGGCATCCTTCAGTCTCGAAAGACTATGGTAGCGTGCTCTGTATGGAGGGCTTGGAACAGCGCCTAGTGTGGCTGAGAAGGCCAATTCGAGAGTGACAGTCCCTTCCACACTGAAGACAAATCCAGTCTGTCCCCTGTCCGGCTCCCTGGTTTTGCTGCTTTTGTGACTTCCTCTTTGCCTCGGCCTGCTGGGCAAGGGTCTCTTCAAATTGGGAGAGGCCGTGATGCACCGCCTGCCTCCAGGCTGAACGCTCAGATGTCAGGTTTTCCCATCTGTTGAGATCTATTCCTAAGGCCTTCAGATCTCGCTTGCAGATGTCCTTGTATCGCAGTTGTGGTCTCCCTCTGGGGCGCTTTCCCTGCACTAATTCTCCATAGAGGAGATCCTTGGGAATCCGACCATCAGCCATTCTCACGACGTGCCCGAGCCAACGTAGACGTAATCACAATTTAATAGCAGTAATCACAATAGCAGAGTAATCACAATTTAAAATAGCATAAGATATAACCCTAAAAAGCAGATAACCACATGGCAATATTAAAAGCCACAATTTCAGACACTAAAAAAAAATAATTTAAAAATTTCTGCATTCAAAATTTAAATGGTACTGTGGTTCTACTAGAACATTGTTCAAGCAGTGAGGCAAGTAGTCACCTTGGAGCCAAAGTCCAGGAATCCACAGCAGCATATGGGTGGGGGATGGACATCCAAAGGGTATGAGATGGCAGGGCGAGTAGCAACCGTGCCTGGTATTGACACATTGGGAGTTGTGGGACTGATGTTGCTCGCTACAGCATCCTTTCATTCTAACAATAAGCATCCAAGGTTGAACCAGAGCTGTTCTACAGTCATGGCCAAAAATATTGGCACCCTTGCA